TGTAAAATAAAATAATAAACTGATTAATCAGAATTTTAAAAATGCAATCAATTGCTTGGATTATGTCAGCAATCGACTGATTTTCGATTATGATCAATGATTGGAACACCACTATTCAACATTTCAGAAAGGTTATTATTAGCTCACCTGAGCCGAAGGCTCAAGTGAGCTTTTCTGATCAAAATTTGTCCGTCGTCTGTCGTCGTTGGCGTCGGGTTCGTAAACTTTTCACATTTTCATCTTCTTCTCAAGAACCACTGGGCCAATTTCAACCAAACTTGCCACAAAGTATCCTTGGGTGAAGGGGATTCAAGTTTGTTCAAATAAAGGGCCACACCCTTTTCCAAGGGAAGATAATCATGAATTTGTTAAAAATTAATGGCATTTTTAAAAAATCTTCTTCTCCAGAACCTCTGGGCCAGGAAAGATGAAACTTATGTGGATCAATCATCCTCAGGTAGTGTAAATTCAAGTTTGTTCAAATCATGACCCCCGGGGCAAGGGTGGGGCCAAAATAGCAGACCCAAGTTTTACATAGGAATATATAGGAAAAATCTTTAAAAAATCTTCTTCTCGAGAAACACTGGGCCAGTAAAGATGAAACTCATGTGGAATCACCCTCAGGTAGTGTAGATTCAAGTTTGTTCAAAAAATGACGCCTGGGGCAAGGGTGGGGCCAAAATGCCCGACCCAAGTTTTAAATAGGAATATGTAGGAAAAATCTTTAAAAATCTTCTTCTCCAGATCCACTGGTCCAGGAAAGATAAAAATCATGTGGAATCATCCTCAGGTAGTGTAGATTCAAGTTTGTACAAATCATGACCCCCGGGGCAAGGGTGGGGCCAAAATGGCCGACCAAGTTTTACATAGGAATATATAGGAAAAATCTTTAAAAAATCTTCTTCTCGAGAAATACTGGGCCAGGAAAGATGGAACTCATGTGGAATCACCCTCAGGTAGTGTAGATTCAAGTTTGTTCAAAAAATGACGCCTGGGGCAAGGGTGGGGCCAAAATGGCCGACCCAAGTTTTACATAGGAATATATAGGAAAAATCTTTAAAAAATCTTCTTCTCGAGAAATACTGGGCCAGGAAAGATGGAACTCATGTGGAATCACCCTCAGGTAGTGTAGATTCAAGTTTGTTCAAAAAATGACGCCTGGGGCTAGGGTCGGGCCAAAATGGCCAACCCAAGTTTTATATAGGGAAACCTTTTAAAATCTTCTTTTCAAGTGCTTCAAAGCTATGATTAGTGATATTTATATGGAATCATCCTCAGGTAATGTAGATTCTAGTTTGTTCAATGATGAATGCCTGGAAGGGGGGGGGGTAAATTCGAGCCAGATGTGCTCAGGTGAGCGCTGTGGCCCCTGGGCTTCTTGTTAAAATATTGATAAAAGTGCATAATATTTTGAAAAAAATATTCCTTGTGTGATAAATAAGAAAGAAAACTTTTAGAAAGTGACAAAAATATGCATAATTTAAAAGTTTTTGCAAGAAACTTTATTGTGTATGATTTACAGGTGAAAGAGCTTTGTACAAGAGGAGATGAAGCGATGAGAATCGCAGCGTCCCTGAGTTCCCTAGAACCTCCCACACCACCCAATCATGGCTTCCAGTACCTGCTGAGACTGGTACGTAATTGTCGCTAGTGTTTCCTGCTTATATCAACATAATTAAGGTTTACTGACCGTTTGACAAGAGAGATAACTCCCACATCACCCAGTCACGGCTTCCAGTACCTACTGAGACTGGTACATAATTGTCGCTAGTGTTTCCAGCTTATATCAACATGATTAAGGTTTACTGACCCTCTGACAAGAGAGATAACTTTCACATCACCCAGACATGGCTTCTAGTATCTACTGAGACTGGGCCTTTCCATTTGGGAAAAATAGCGACATTTGGTAGAAATTGGGAAAAATATCATATCTAAAATTTTTCTATATACATTCAAATAAGAGGGTTTTTTTTGGAGGAAAAATTCTAACGGTTAATAAAGCGTAAACTGCCCCAAGTTATGTTACATGATTGTATAACATAAAAGAAACTTCATTCCTCAAATATCATAAAATCTTACTATCAAACACTGCTTGTATTTTCAGATAGGAGATTTATACAGGACTGACCCCCTGGGTCTGAGGCTGTCTGTAGAGTACTGGTGTCCCCAGGATAACTACAGACCTCACGAAACAATGTACAATGTTAGACCCCCACAGAGACAGAGATAGCTATAGTTACGTATAGTATCATGTCATACACAGAGACAGGTAGATAAAGTATCATATATATCATACACAGAGACAGGTAGATATAATATCATATCATACACAGAGACAGGTAGATATTATATCATATTGTACACAGAGACAGGTAGATATTATATCATATTGTACACAGAGACAGGTAGATATAGTATCATATCGTACACAAAGACAGGTAGATATAGTATCATATCGTACACAGAGACAGGTAGATATAGTATCATATCATACACAGAGACATGTAGATATTACATCATATTGTACACAAAGACAGGTAGATATAGTATCATATCGTACACAAAGACAGGTAGATATAGTGTCATATTTTACACAGAGACAGGTAGATATAGTATCATATTGTACACAGAGACAGGTAGATATAGTATCATATCGTACACAGAGACAGGTAGATATAGTATCATATCGTACACAGAGACAGGTAGATATAGTATCATAGATATAGTATCATATCATACAGAGACAGGTAGATATAGCATCATATCATACACAAAGACAGGTAGATATAGCAACATATTGTACAATGTAATAATCATAGATAATACACAGGATAACTACACACCTCATGAAACAATGTACATTGTTAGACCACTCATGGAGACAGGTACGTAGATATAGAATGACATCTACAAAACAAAATATAGCTGTTAAGTTTATGAAAAGACAGTGATTTTGGTTTACATGATGAGTAAGGAATGTACATATGGTGTATGATTTATATTACAGATATCATTGTATAGACTGTATGATTTTACATTACAGGTGTAATTTTATATTACAGGTATCGCTGTAAAGTTTGTCCGTCTAACAGGGGACCTCCTGCCCCCCTCCCTCTACGTACCCTACATCCAGATGTTGATTGGTCTTTTTTATATTACAGGTGTCACTGTTTGAGTTTGTCCGTCTAACGGGGGACCTCCTGCCCCCCTCCCTCTACGTACCCTACATCCAGATGTTAATTGGTCTGTTTTATATGACAGGTGTCACTGTTTGAGTTTGTCCGTCTAACGGGGGACCTCCTGCCCCCCTCCCTCTACGTACCCTACATCCAGATGTTGATTGGTCTGTTTTATATTACAGGTGTCACTGTATGAGTTTGTCAGTCTGGTTGGGGACCTCCTGCCCCCTCCCTCTACGTACCCTACATCCAGATGTTGATTGGTCTGAGCAGTAACCCACAGTCTGCCCTCTACTGCTTTGACCTTCTCAATGTCAATGGAATGGGATCAGGTAAGAATTTCTGATAGCTTCAGTGAAATAGCATATCTAAAGAAGTTTTGTGGCAGATGTCTTTATGTACTGTTACTAGTGTTGTCACTAACAGTCTGTCCTGCAGTCACAGATGTAAAAAGACAATTTTAAAGTTTCAGAGTGTGATTGATTCCAGCAAGCACTGAGCTTTCTTAATTTACCATATGAATCTTTTCCTTATACAACAGATGTTTTGTATCTTGAATACCTTGGATATGTCAAAGTAATTAAAAGTCCCTTTTCCTTTTTTCTTTCAGTATAATCACCACTGATATCTCAAAAAGTTTTCTTGTGTACTATGCCAGTTTACGTTGGGAGGTTCCTAACTGTGCTGACATGTCTCACATTGGAATCCAAGGTCCCCTACCCCGGGGAATCACCCCACAGGAACTGGAGTGGCTGGTCGGCATCCTGAAACTGTGTCGTGTGGTGTCAGAATATGTGAGTATATTTGTCAATCATCAGATGAAGAAATTAATTACTATAATAGCCAAGAGTTTTAATTTAGTTTAAAATATATTTTATCCATTGAATTGGATCAGCAGGCATAAATGTCTATGATCATTCTCACCATAAGTCAAGGTACAATTACAGATACATGTAAACATTGAAAAATGGGTTTATATTTTGATGAACCCAGAATTCATTGCAGCTTGTTATGAAGGCATGATGATTACGGGTCTCAGACAAAATGTTTCTCAATTTTCAAAATTCACAGAAAAATTATATTTTTCTAAAATCATATGTTCTCAGTAATGTTGATCTTCAAAACATTTTATCATTTTATTTTACTGAACAACTTATTTTATAATCTTTATTTCAAAGTTGACAGTTATTCAAATTTAGTGGAAAATGGGCTTACTAGAGCTATAAAAAAATGAATTTTGAACATGAATGGGTCAAGTCTCCATTCTTTGTTAACGCTTAAATTACGGAAACTTAAATGTAAAATCTATTTCATTTGTCCAAAAAATGGAATCTGAACCCATATTCTATATGAAAATCAAAAATTTCTGAAAAAATGTACGCTTCAACAAATCTGTTCATTTAAATCACACAGACAGAGATGGATAATGCATATACTTTGTAGCGTAGTGGTTAAAGTGACTGTTGTGGACCAAACCCTGCGCTATGGAGAGATTTCGAATCATACATGAAGCTTTTTCTTTTTTGTTTAATTTCACATATCAAAAAACTGTCCAAAGGATCCAGAGGTATCCCAAATGTAACATCTAATCACCCCCTACTCTACTTTAGGGCATGAAATCAATTGAATGTATTGAGTGAAAAATAAATTATCAATAAAATATTAAAACAATGAAATACAGAATAAAACACGTAAAAGAATATATAAAGAATATAATTTTGAAAAGTATAACTTTTAAAATTGAAAATTAAAATGTCTTCTCTCAGAGGGTGGGATTGTACTCGCCCTGTACGCCTCCGTTCTTTGCTTACTTTGTTTTAAAGATTTTGACCACAGTCCAGAGCAGCAGTTCCTCTCAAAGTGGAATCCAGGTAAATGTTAATTTGTTTTCTCAGGTTAAACTTTGTTCTTTTTATTCTCTTACACCCTGAGGAGAACAGAACTAAATCTTGCTGTACATGTAGAAATTTATCTAGACACCAATACACATGTAATTACATATTGTAACTCACATGCTTGTAAGAGTTATCTACCTTTAATGTCTGTTTTTTCCCTGTAGGTGGAGCTGGAGGAGGTGGAGACCCGAGGGGAGGAATTTCCCATGACGCGAGCTTTCCTGTCCTTACTGGACTCCCTCACTGACATTCCTGTCCCCCGGGACTCGGGGCCAGTTTCAGGGCCCCAGGATTTCAACCCTACCTAGAGTTTGTCAAGAATGTTTGAGATTTTTACGCCAGCAGTTAAAAGAATCCATCAGAAAAGGTTGGATATAAGATTTTTTAAAATGATTTTTTCAATCTTGTTGATAAATACATACACTGTACTACCATCAAGTAAAAAAAAATTACAGCTAAAAAAGAACAATACACAGACAAAAAAGGTAGATAGAGATTGAAACAATAAATTTTTTATTAGCTCTACTGGTCACAGACCAGAAGAGCTTATGCGATAGTATGGTGTCCGTCTAGCTGTCCGTCTGTCTGTAAACAATTTTTCAAAACGCTAATCCTCCTACAGGTTTGGTCTGATTTTAATATAACTTGGCAAACAAGTAGACTACACTTACATACAAAAAATAGAGCATCGGTTTTTTATTTCGATGAACAGTGCATGTTGCCATTGTTACTAAAAATAGAAATGCCTTTTGTTATATCCTTTGTTATAAGTACAAACCAGTAGAGCTACAGTCTCGACAAAGACTTCTGGTTTTAAAATTGTGTCTGTCATTTGCATTGATATTAATTGAAAATGTGGTCATTGTGTGATTTATTGCCAAAGGTAATTAAGTCAATGCAAGTGACTGTTTAAGAATCCCTTGTATACAACTGCTGGATTGATTTCTTTCAAGTAAATGTAAAGCTTTATTTACAGTGGGAGGTGGCCAGTGACTGTCTGAGAATCCTATGTAAGCTCCTGAGGGACGTCATGACCTCGGGATAGCTCTCGCTTGGCAAAAAAAGTGTAAACAAACCAAATGAATGCTCTTTTCAATTCATATTTCTAGGCATAATTTTTGCTTGAAATGCACCTTGCTGCATATCATTGTAAACTTTAGACACTCTACTTTTATTCTATACCCCAAAAGTATCTAAAACATGTGAGCTATTTTTATTTTTATCATTGAAAGGGAGGCATATGAATTTCCTACATGTGCTATGTTTTAGCCATTTGACCTTCACCCTTTAATTGTGGCCCGGATCCTATATGAGGTAATTTGATTGGTTAATATTACTAGCCAATGCTAGGAGAGTAGGAGAGTTAATTGGTTGGTTGATTGTATTGACTGATGCTAAGAGAGTTAATTTGATTGGTTAATCTGTACAGGACAGGAGTCATTGGAGTCGGCCAGTCTGCTGTGTTTTCAGCTGATAGAGACCAGTCTGGAGAAGTCGGGGACGTTCCTGGACGCGTGTCGTGAGACGGGAGCCTCCGCCATGGTGTCAGCCATGGATCGTCTTCTCCTGAGTATTAATCCACGCAGCGGGAAAGCCGACCACCTTGTTAATGTCACAAAGTAGGTCAATAAAAGTAACAAAAATAATAAGCAAAATGTTTAATTTATTTGAATAATATGAAAGTTAGTCATTCAAGTCTTATAAAAAATGGAAAGCTGTAAGAAACATTAAGAACTATATGCGGTATATTGCACATATTTGCCCCCACAAAAGTCAAATTTTGAAAACTTCCTGAAATGTGCTGAATTCAATAAATTGTATGAGAAATATAAATTAAGAAAAAATATTATAGTGTCAAAGCAGTGTATTCACAATTTTTGTTTTTATGCCATCATAAACTAGCCTGATTTTTATATTTTTTTTCAGAAAGAGGACAAAATGGACAAAATTTCAACAATTTAAGCTTTAAAATTTATAGAGCGCAAGTTTGTTCAGGAACAATATTGACATATTTCATTGATATTGTCATTCTACACCTTATATCAAAATATCGATCCTGAACACACATACGCTCAGTGACTTTTACTCAAAATATCGACGAAATATGTACATTTTTCTGTAAAATTCATAAAAAACTTAAATTTACGTCATGTTTACGACGTCATTACGCAATATTGCGTCAATACTTATGAATATACTCAGTGCTTTAAAGTCAGCATATATTCCCCTGTTTAAGAACTTTAATTAAATATATCTCCATCCAAGTTTGATTTGGGGGGCAAATATTGATTATTACCGAATAAAGTTCTTTATCATCCTATATTGTGTGATCATGGTCACAATTGTTGTTTTATATCTTGTAGGTTTATACAGTTCAGCATTCCTCTTCCTGAGCATGCCCAGTCAGCCATGAAGATCCCGTATCGCGTGTGTGTAGCTCCCATCCAAGTGGCCCTCGTCAATCTGTTCACATTAAATCAGGTAACAGTATACTGTATAGGGGGAAAATAACTCGCAGTGTTAATATTCGCTATATCCACGGTGTTAACAAATCCGTGAATTCAAGAAACAGTGAATAAATTTTCAATAATCTCCATGTTTTATTTGGAAATTTGAGAACAGACTACGATAAATTTATATAGGTGTAGTACATGGTCATTTCAGTAATTACGAGTAGTACAGTCATTAAATTATTTTAATTATCACGCTTTACTTCAATTCAAATCTGCAGATAATAATTTGTGTTTGTTCAAAAGCTGGTTTAATAGCCAACGCCAAATGTTTCATCAATCAAAACACGTGGACCATGGGTTTTGATTATTCGTGTGTAACTAATGTTACCATGTGTATTTGTTACCTGCATTCTCATGCATATTAGTTCATGTAGTACTTACTGACGATTAGGAAGGATATTATTTCGTAAAACTACATAAACACATTTCTTTCCGTCCAGTGGTTTTTTGCAGTGTTGTATTGAAGATTTTGGGTGCACATGCACTCATCGTATTAATAGCATATAGAAAAGTCATTTGACGTTTAGGGACTAATAATAACTGCATTTGTGTTTATCAATCATTTATAAAAATCTAACAATTTTATAATAACCTACCCTGTTGTTTGGAAAATAAAGACATAACGCTGATTAATGTCGTTTACATGTAGCTATGGTATGGATTAAATGGAGACAAGGGAAATAATTTTTATTACATACCCAAGTCTGCGAATTCAAGAAACCGCAATCGTGTCAGATGAGAGAAAAACGTGAAAATTACAACCCGTGAAATTAATCCCCTATACAGTAATTTGATTAAGACACCAAGTTTTCCTTGAACTGAGAATTATTTCCAGTGTGGTTGACACTAAAAAGGAGGTTACATAATACACTGTGTCTAGTTCCAGAATAAGATAAATGGATACGCTAGATTGTTATTAGGGTTCTTTAGAAATCTTATGCCATGTGTAATTCTTGGTTTACATCGTTGTATCACATAAAATTCATTATTCTAGACCTCTCATCTGGAGCTGCTCCACGGATTTGTGGAATGTCTGGAAGTGGAGGAACCAGAACAAATGGTGGAGAGGACAATTCACTTACCTGAGGAGGAGGGTATGTTAAAATTGTGTGGAGAGAGAGAGAGAGAGAGAAGGGTATGTACTCAGTAGTGTGGAGAGAGAAAGAAAGAAAGAGAGAAAGAGAGAGAGAGAGATAATCCACCTACCAGAGGGAGAAGGTATGTACTAAGTAGTGTGGAGAGAGAGAAAGAAAGAGAGAATCCACTTACCAGAGGAAGAGGGTATTTACTCAGTAGTGTGGAGAGAGAGAGAGAAAGAAAGAAAGAGAGAGAGAGAATTCACTTACCAGAGGGAGAAGGTATGTACTCAGTAGTGTGGAGAGAGAGAAAGAGAGAGAGAATCCACTTACCAGAGGAAGAGGGTATGTACTCAGTAGTGTGGAGAGAGAGAGAGAAAGAGAGAGAGAGAATCCACTTACCAGAGGGAGAGGGTAGGTACTCAGTATTGTGGAGAGAGAGAGAAAGAGAGAAAGAGAGAATTCACTTACCAGAGGGAGAAGGTATGTACTCAGTAGTGTGGAGAGAGAGAGAGAGAGAAAGAAAGAGAGAGAGAGAATTCACTTACCAGAGGGAGAAGGTATGTACTCAGTAGTGTCCAGAGAGAGAGAGAGAGAGAGAGAGAGAGAGAGAGAATCCACTTACCAGAGGAAGAGGGTAACTAGGGTCCCATAGAGAAGTGAAACTGGGGTGAGAATGATCTGATATACCAGAGGAAGACAGTATCTAGGGACTCAGTACAGAAGTGGAGAAGCTAGGGTCTCACAGAGAAGGTTGGGGGTGTATTGTTCAGAGAAAGATGATAAAAATGTTTTCAACATTGAGATGTTAAGGAAGGGGGCATTCACCTTATAAACCTGAGGAAGATAGGAACTAGGAATCGCAACAGTGTGGATTGATCTCATATAGTTTTCATTTTCCATTTTGTTTAAACAATACTGTTTCCCGTATAAGTAGAAATTTTAGCGAAGATTTAATTTTGGCTTTATTAGCGAGGCTGCTGAGATCGCTAAAATTACATATCGCTAAAAATTTATTGCGTATTATTTGTAATAGGTTCTTTAATCAACATTTTTAAATTGCTAAAATTACATCTCGCTAAAAATAAAATACCAGTTCTTAAGAACAAATTGCCAAATTTGCGTCTTGCTAAAATTTCCACATACAGTATTTACAGGTAATCCCCCCCCCTCCCCTCCCTTTTTCTAACTTGGGCAAATTTGAAATAACATTATCTCATAAGCAGAACTGTATCTTTGTGAAAATCAAATCAAATTGTTTTCAGGAGTGATAGTGTGAAAAAGATGTAAACAGAAATATTCCTGCATATACACTGTACACATAGTTGATGCTAAAAGAATTTCTCTCTCAGATATTTCTGTAAACATTAACGCAAATATAATGTTTTAAATTTCTGAGAAGTTCAAAGAATGCCATTATAATGTAACTTTATTACTGATTAACTTTATTGTAACAGATGATTCCCGTGAGATTGGCCACGTCCGTAACTCCACCATTATAATGTCACTTTATTACTGATTAGCTTTATTGTAACAGATGATTCCCGTGAGATTGGCCACGTCCGTAACTCCACCATTATAATGTCACTTTATTACTGATTAGCTTTATTGTAACAGATGATTCCTGTGAGATTGGCCACGTCCGTAACTCCACCATTATAATGTCACTTTATTACTGATTAGCTTTATTGTAACAGATGATTCCCGTGAGATTGGCCACGTCTGTAACTCCACCATTATAATGTCACTTTATTACTGATTAGCTTTATTGTAACAGATGATTCCCGTGAGATTGGCCACGTCCGTAACTCCACCATTATAATGTCACTTTATTACTGATTAGCTTTATTGTAACAGATGATTCCCGTGAGATTGGCCACGTCCGTAACTCCACCATTATAATGTCACTTTAACACTGATTAGCTTTATTGTAACAGATGATTCCTGTGAGATTGGCCACGTCCGTAACTCCACCATTATAATGTCACTTTAACACTGATTAGCTTTATTGTAACAGATGATTCCCGTAAGATTGGCCACGTCCGTAACTCCACCATTATAATGTCACTTTAACACTGATTATCTTTATTGTAACAGATGATTCCCGTGAGATTGGCCAAGTCCGTAACTCCACCATTATAATGTCACTTTAACACTGATTAGCTTTATTGTTACAGATGATTCCCATGAGATTGGCCACATCCGTAATTCCACCAGACAGTACCTACTTCAGGTCCTACTGAGATCTCTAGACCAACCTTCACCAAACTTGGCACACCTGCTGCTGGGCTTTGACATTAGGAAGTCTGTAAGCAGAACTCTGCTCCAGGATCCAGGTGAGCTAAAAAAAGAAGTTTTGTCAAAATTTTACCTCAAGATGCAAAAGATTCTTAGATCTACCTGGATGAAAATTTTGCACATTCACAAATTTAATTTG